CTTTTTCCTGTGTTCTTTTTTTTTAATTTACTGCTTGTATATATATATATATATATATGTGAAAACTAATAAAAATTGCTAATACAAAAAAAAAAAAATACATCCACTTATCTGTCACTCAGTCCAGCGGTGTCCTCACCACGGCTGGTTTCACCGGCCGTCTTCTCTCCCTGGCTCTGGCATCTTCAGTGTGGGCACCCGGCTGTAACAGCTTGTGGCTTCACAGCCGGGTGCCCACTGCACATGCTCAAGAAGTGTGGCGCTTTGTGAATGGCCCCGTAGTCTTCTGGGACTTGTCATGTGTCCCAGAAGACTACAAGGAAAGAGGGAAGGAGGACACCTTCCATTTCCGATCGCCTAGGTGATTGCAGCAAAAGTGGGAGCAGGTACCTGTCAAATTCGGGAACCCACTCCCCCCCACTCCCCAAAGGTGCCAATCCTTAATGGGGGACAAATAATTAAAGCGGAACTTCCCCTTTTGGGTGGAGCTCCACTTTAAATCAGCTGGCATAAAAGGGTCAACAAGGGGTACTTTGTATAAGCTATCCTCCTCACTATAAAAAGGTGAGGTTACAGCAGCCATGTTGACAATGTGATCACCTGTGATAGGGAATGCCAGGCGTCAGCCAGGCAACACACATTTTTCCAGTAACTTGCATCCAGGAGACTAGTCCTTGAGCTTTGTTTTGAGGTTTTATTAGGGGGTTTCATCTGGGATAGGGTTAGGGGTGTACAGGATGCCTAATAGACCTGTGAAAGCGAGGACAACTTCCTAGAACTATATACAAGTTTTTTACAGCAAAATACTCTTTTTGGAGAGCTAACCAGTGTTTCTGGCTATACCACCCCAGACCCGAGATTCTCCTAATCCAGCCAATCTGGGTGAATCCCTGAGCAGGGGATCCAGTGCCTGTCACTTCAAAGTAGGACAGTCCCGGGTAGTCACTAATCTGACCACCTTGACCCATTCCCCTGCCAACCTCCACAGATTCACATCCCCTTTGTGAACATCCTGGTAGATCTTCTCCCTTAGCCCATAATCCCCAGGGTAGCCTCATCGGTGCCCTCCCTCTGTGGCCTAGTTACTCCGGACTTCCTCCTGGATAATGCCTCCCTACCTAATTGGTCTCCTGTCCCGGCCTGCCTACCCCAGGTGGGGCCTTCCCTTGATCCAGTGCCTTATATTATGATCCTACTGTTGTTAGGGTCATTTTTCCCCTTTATACACTGTTATACCTACTGTGTAGTATGTCACTAAATAATGTTGTTACTTCCCCATGTGGGTAACTCATCCACAATTGCTGAGCTGGTTGGTTCCCTTTTTGGCTGTCGGGTAGTCTCGAATCTGACCACACCTGACGCTCCTCTTTATCCTTAAACCCCCCATTTTCTATTCTCCGTTGGTGTACTCAGATTCCCAGGCTCCCCCTCTGCTACTCAGGGAACTACTGTCACCGGTTTTCCAGGTGACTGTGAGCCTGTTCTTTTTACTTATACTGTATGCTCCTACTGTCATTAGGGTCATTTTTCTCCTTTACTCATTGTTATGCCTACTGTGTAGAATATCACCAAATTATGCTGCTACTTCCTCTTTTGGGTAACTCAACCAAAATGCTGAGTTTGTTGGTTCCCTTTTTGGCTGCCGGATAGTCTCGAATCCGACCACACCTGACACCCCACCCCAGTCTTACAACCTCTGTTTTCTTCTCTCTGCTCGGATTCCCAGACTCCTCCTCCGCTACTCAAGGAGCTACTGACACCGGTTTTACAGGTGTCTGTAAGCTTGTTCTTTTTACTTATGCTGCATGCTCCTATGGTTGTTAGGGTCATTTATTCTATTTTCCATTACTCACTGTTATGCCTACTGTGTAGAATATTACCAAATGATGTTGTTACTTCATCTTTTGGATTACTCGTCCAAGATTGGCTGAGTTTGTTGATTCTCCTTTTTGGATGCTGGACAGTCCCGAATCCGACCACACCTGACACTCTGTCCTAGCCTTGCTTTCTCTTTTTTTTACTGTCCGCTGGTGTGCTCAGATTCCCAGACTCCTCCTCCACTACTTAGGGAGCTACAGACACTGGTTCACCTGGTGTCTGTTAGCCTGTTTTTTTTTTCTAATGCTGCTTCTCCTCTATGTTTGCCACTGTGCACTCACTGTCGGCCCATGAGGTGTCAGTTTTTTTCACTTCACAGGCTGTTTCTGACCCTCTGGACTGTTTGCTTTGCCCCAGTCCTGGGGGCCAGGCCGTTGTCATTGGTTTCCCCTTCTCCCTCCCACCTTCTTCCCCTGATCTTCTCTTCCCCTTTCCTTTCTTGTGTGACTTCTCTCTCTTTCTTACCTTTCATTCCCTCCTTTTTTTTTTTCCCTTCCCCTAGGGACCGTTCCATCAGTACTCACCCCAGCTGCATCTGACTATTGAGATCTCTTTGTTACCTCTATGGTACCCCTAAACATTCTTACCCTTAATGTTCCCAAAAAGCGAAACAAGGCCTTTCGCTTTTTTGCGTCTCAAAAAGCGCATATCATCTGCCTACAGGAAACACATTTTACTTCTACTCCCAAATTTTTCGGCCCTCTCTACCCGCAAATTTTTACTGCCTCTACGACAACTAAGTGTAGAGGTGTCCTTATTGCTTTTCATTGCACAGCCCCTTTTGTGCTTCATGCCCAGCTTGGTGACCCAGAAGGCCGCTACCTAATTCTATCGGGACTCCTACTAGACTCTCCAATTACAGTTGTCTCTTATTACACTCCCAATCTAGGTCCCCTTCCGTTCCTATGCCATTTGCTGACAGCTATTGACCACCATAAACGCAGCAGCTTGCTTATATGTGGAGACTCGTAATATATCCCTTCCTTGACAAATCTCCTCTACCACCCCTCCCCCAGCCACTCCCCATTCTTTCCAACACCTTTTCAATCGCCAATCTTTAGTGGACTCCTGGAGGGAACTCCACGCAGTTAAGCGTAAATACACTTACTGCTCTCACCCCCACAACTCCTTTTCTCGTATTGACCACATTCTTGTGACCATCAGCACCTCCTCTAGACTCCTTGACTCTGACATTCTTCCCATACCATGGTCCGACCACTGCGCAGTTTCTCACGTCTCTCTCTTCCCTATCCCCCTCAGTTCCTGGGTAATTAATGATAACCTGCTATCCCACCCTACACACGGCCTTGACCTAGAGAACGCTTTCAAAGATTACTTGGAGCTTACCTCCACTCCTGATATTTCCCCACTTCTGTTGTGGGAAGCACATAAGCCTGTTCTTAGAGGACTTTGCATCAGTAAGTCGTCCTTCCTCAGCAGAGAAAAAAGACAAACACGCCTCCGCCTTGAGGCAGCTTACAGCCAATCTCACTAACTGTTCCAGGCTACTCCTTCTCACCGTAAAGCTCTAGAACAATCCAGTTTGGAACTCAACATTTTCTTTTCAGACCAGGCTGAATTATCCCTTTGCAGATCCCATCATAAATTCTATACTAAAGCTAATAAACCCGACACCTTATTGGCTCTCTCACTTCGTAGATTGGACCACACCACCAAACCTCACCTTAAACTCTCCCGCGGTGACTACCCCAGCAATCCATCTCGTATACTTCAAGTTTTCCGTAAGCATCTAGCACTCTTATACTATCAAACAGAGCCCTTTGACCAAGCTCGTGCTGAGAACCTCCTGGCCAACCTCTCTTTTCCAATTCTATCTGCACAACACCTAGAAGCCCTTGAGAAGCCTATCATTTTCAGCTGAAACCCTGTCTGCTATCAAAGAACTTAAGATCAGAAAACAGCCCAGCCCTGATGGCTTTTCTGCCTCTTACTATAAGAAGTATGCTCACCTACTCTCCCTCGTCCTTACTAGCGCTTTCAATACTATTTTGTCAGGACAGCCAGCATGTATTGCAATATGTGTGAACACAATATCCCTATTTATTGCATAGTCTGCTGGAAGGGTATATATACCAGTGTGCAGAGGGTCCTCAGAATTTCTAGAGTTAATGTGGTTACACCCCTTTAGCACCTGATGGATAAATGCATGCACTAGCGGTTGGGATTTGAGCACAGGGATCTCTTGTTTGATGCTCTCCAACAGCAACACACAGAAATAAAAAAAAGGAAGACTGGAAACCCTGTCAGATATTTTTGTCAGTGATTATAAATATTATAGACCATCCTTGGACTTCTTTTATTCTCTATCTACACTTTCTCCATGGGTTAGCAAAATTATAGAATGCATGAAGGTAAAGAAAACCTTGAGCCTTTATAACCACTTTGAGTAAGTATGCGATTATGTGTTGGGCCGCATTCATAGCCATCTTGGGCTGCAGGTTGGACAACCTTATTCTAGAGTCTATTGAGATGGCCACCTTCACACAGAGACATAAAGAAGAACACGGCATTGTAAGTCATTATTGGGGAAAATATGAGCTGCATGGAAACCACAGGCAGTACCGGTGACTAGTCCTTTATCATACTCAGCGGCATGGAGACCACAGGCAGTACCAGTGACTAGTCCTTTGCCATACTCAGCGGCATGGAGATCACAGGCAGTACCGGTGACTAGTCATTTGCCATACTCAGTGGCTTGGAGACCACAGGCAGTACCGGTGACTAGTCATTTGCCATACTCAGTGGCTTGGAGACCACAGCCAGTACCGGTGACTAGTCATTTGCCATACTCAGTGGCTTGGAGACCACAGCCAGTACCGGTGACTAGTCATTTGCCATACTTGTCTTTTTTTATTTTTTTTTTATTTTTTTACTTTCTGCATACAAAAAGAGAAAACAAAACATACACACTATATATGATCATATACCTCGTATAGCATGACAATAAAATACTCAAGAAGGTTTCCATACTTGCCTTTTTTGGGCACAGCTTCCAGTTCCTCTTAAAAATAAACATTTAGCATATACAAGTCTGGAATGTTAAATTTTAAAACATTGTTCTAATTTACTGTTTTTTTTCAAAAGTTTATTGTTGGAATACATTAAAAATGAACATTTATGACATATTGTTTCATTTCACTCATTGTGGTCTGTAGTGCTTTTTGAAAATCCTGGTTCCTTAGCGTGTAAATGATGGGGGTTATCAGTGGAATCACGTATAAATAGAAAAAGGACATTGATTTATAGACCTGGAAATAATTATTACTCCTCGGCACTACGTATAAAGTAAAAATTATGGCAAAATATATAGCTGAGACCACTAGGTGGGAGCTGCAGGTGGAGAAGGCTTTCTTTCTTCCTTTGGTTGACTTTATCTTGAGGATGGCCATGATGATAAAGGTGTACGATACAACAACCCCCACAAAAGGTGTAGCACACAGTATAGTGCTGACCACCAAGGTAAGAAACATAAGAGGTGCTATGTCTGAGCAGGCAAACAGAATCAGGGTGTTGAAGTCACAGTGGAAGTGGTTGATTCTAACAGGGCCACAAAACTCCACTTTAGTTAAGAAATAGCATATTGCTGCCATAATCACAGAGGAAATCAACCAAAACCCAATCACTAAATACAGGCACAGTCTAGTATGCATGAGAGTGGAATATCTCAGAGGGTGACAAATGGCCAAAAATCTGTCACAGGACATTAATATAAGCAGGAAAGACTCCACGATTGACACACCTCCCATCACATTTATTTGGATAGTACAGCCAAGAAAGGAGAAGACCCCTCTTCCCGAGAGTAAGTCATGCAGCATCCGTGGAACCAGATTGGTGATGTAAACAAATCCAACGAAGAGTAAGTTACTGATCAGGAAGTACATGGGGGAGTGGAGGTGAGGGCTTTTATTAACCAAAAAGATGACCAGCAGGTTCTCAAAGCAGGTCAATGTGTAGATGACCAATAAGAAAAGGAAATACGGAATTCTGTAGGCAATGAGGTAATCAAATCCAACAATCAAAATTTCAGCTGAAAGTGTTTGATTCTTTTGATGGGTCATCTGTGAACAAGATTGTCACAAGAGAGTGTTATTAATTGCATCAGCTCCGGCACCCGTACATCTCATACACTAGAGCAGTTTTCACATTCATTCAGCAACTAGGCTCCATTCACACTTGAGCGTATTAGAATCTCTAAGAGCTCTTGTACAATACTAAGGGCTCATATACACTGCAGCTGATAAACTCACGTTTAGGAGCTGTTCAGCGTTTTTTCCAGCAGCCCCTGAACTCACCGTAATGTTTTTTTAGGTGTCCATGTACACATCTTCGTTTGCAGTAATTTACAGGCATTTCAGTTTACAGACTTTTTTTGAACGCAGAAAACTTGTGTTCACCAGTCAATTTTATCAACGCAAAATGCTTGTAAATGCGACTAAACGCGGCAAATCGTGTTTATAAGTGGTTGCGTCTGAATTTTTTTTAACTTTTCCAGTTCTCAATGCTGTTTACAGCCTTTTTTTATCATGAAAAATGCATGCAAAACGTTTTCAAGGTACTTAGATGGACAAAACACTGAACACAGGATGTCTTGTCACACATTGTAATGACCAATTCACACCTCAGACTTCTCCCACCCTTGGAAACAAAAGATATGTAAATGACCAATTCACACCTGAGACTTCTCCCACCCTTGGAAACAAAAGATATGTTAATGACCAATTCACACCTCAGACCTCTCCCTCCCTTGGAAACAAAAGATCTGTAAATGACCAATTCACACCTCAGACCTCTCCCACCCTTGGAAACAAAAGATGTTAATGACCAATTCACACCTCAGACCTCTCCCACCCTTGGAAACAAAAGATATGTTAATGACCATTCACACCTCAGACCTCTCCCACCCTTGGAAACAAAAGATATGTTAATGACCAATTCACACCTCAGACCTCTCCCACCCTTGGAAACAAAAGATATGTTAATGACCATTCACACCTCAGGCCTCTCCCACCCTCAGAAACAAAAGATATGTTAATGACCAATTCACACCTCAGATCTCTCCCTCCCTTGGAAACAAAAGATATGTTAATGACCAATTCACACCTCAGACCTCTCCTACCCTTGGAAACAAAAGATATGTTAATGACCAATTCATATTTCAGACCTCTTCCACCCTTGGAAACAAAAAATATGTTAATGACCAATTCACACCTCAGACCTCTCCCACCCTTGGAAACAAAAGATATGTTAATGACCAATTCATACCTCAGACCTCTCCCACCCTTGGAAACAAAAGATATGTGGCCTTAATGACTCCCTCCACCAGACACCTTTCCCACCCTTGGAACCAAAGAAATGTTAATAAGCAACTCACACCTAATTATCTCAACACATACTGCTGTCTCTGTTTCTACTCTCTGTATTTCTCTGAAACAGTCTGAAATAGTTCATAATTTACCACTTTTCAGTGCATTCTGGGCATTTTGGGAGGTTCTCCTGTGCTTATCTTTAAAAAACGCTTTTAAACTCAAACGCACATAAACGCACATAAACGCGGTATGCAAACACAGCTAAACAGACATTTTTTAACCTACGTTCTCCAGCAGTCAGTTTCCATCGTTCAGAAGTGTCCCGTGTATATGGGACCTAACAGAATTGTACAATTCTGCCTGTGATTTCAGAGTCACAGCAAAACGCAACATTTTTGAGGTGCCATTATTTCTTAAACGTGATGTGGTTTTGCCGTAAAAAATGCCAAAAATGCAAAGCTAAATACAAAAATCTGATGCATAAGCTTCTTTGAAGTGTTTTTGGAGCGGAGGGAGGCCCATTGAAAATGTAATGGTGCTGCTCAAAAAAAAAATACATTGCAGAAAAACATGAAAAAAGCGACACTCAGGTTTGAACAGGACCTTACCCACATGGAAGAAAAATATATTTAAAATATATTTAAAAAATATTATTCCCAAATATATTGACATACAGTGGGGATCGAAAGTTTGGGCCCCCCAGCTAAAAATTTGTATTAATGTGCATAAAGAAGCCAAGGAAAGATGGAAAAATCTCCAAAAGGCATCAAATTACAGATTAGACATTCTTATAATATGTCAACAAAAGTTAGATTTTATTTCCATCATTTACACTTTCAAAATAACAGAAAACAAAAAAATGGCGTCTGCAAAAGTTTGGGTACCCTGCAGAGTTAATATCTTGTACTGCCTCCTTTGGCAAGTATCACAGCTTGTAAACGCTTTTTGTAGCCAGCCAAGAGTCTTTTAATTCTTGTTTGAGGTATCTTTGCCCATTCTTCCTTACAAAAGTCTTCCAGTTCTTTGAGATTTCTGGGCTGTCTGTCACGCACTGCTCTTTTAAGGTCTATCCATAGATTTTCAATGATGTTGAGGTCAGGAGATTGTGAAGGCCATGGCAAAACCTTCAGTTTACGCCTCTTGATGTAATCCCCCGTGGATTTCGAGGTGTGTTTAGGATCATTATCCATTTGTAGAAGCCATCCTCTCTTTAACTTCAGCTTTTTCACAGATGGCATCAAGTTACCATCCAAAATTTGCTGAAATTTTATTGAATCCATTTTTCCTTCTACTCGTGAGATGTTCCCTGTGCCACTGGCTGCAACACAACCCCAAAGCATGATTGATCCAACCCCATGCTTAACAGTTGGACAGAGGTTCTTTTCATTAAATTCTGTGCCCCTTCTTCTCCAAACGTACCTTTGTTCATTCCGGCCAAAAAGTTCAATTTTAACCTCATCAGTCCACAGAACTTGTTTCCAAAATGCATCCGGCTTGTCTATATGTTCATTTGCAAAGTTCAAATGATGATTTTTGTGGTGAGGACGTAGAAGAGGTTTTCTTCTGATGACTCTTCCATGAAGACCATATTTGTACAAGTATCTCTTTATAGTGGAATAGTGTACCACAACTCCAGTGTCTGCCAGATCTTTCTGGAGGGATCGTGCAGTCAAACGTGGGTTTTGAATTGTTTTTCTTACAATCCTGCGAGCTGTTCTGTCTGATATTTTTCTTGGTCTTCCAGATCTTGCTTTAACTTCCACTGTTCCTGATGACTGCCATTTCTTAATTACATTCCGAACAGAGGATATTGACATCAGAAAACTCTTTGCTATCTTCTTATAGCCTTCTCCAGCTTTGTGAGCGTCAACTATTTTCAGTTTCAGTTTTCTAGACAACTGCTTAGAAGAACCCATGGTGCTGATTGTTGGGGCAAGGTCAGATGAGTCTGGACATTTAAAACCTTTGAGATTGACATCACCTGGTCTTCCCAGACGATGATTGAGAACAATCCATGACACTGGCAGGTCTCAGCTTGGCAAAGGGGGCAGTGCATGCTATAAATTCTGCAGGGTGCCCAAACTCTTGCAGACGCCATTTTTTTGTTTTCTGTTATTTTGAAAGTGTAAATGATGGAAATAAAATCTAACTTTTGTTGACATATATTATAAGAATGTCTAATCTGTAATTTGATGCCTTTTGGAGATTTTTCCATCTTTCCTTGGCTTTTTTATGCACATTAATACAAATTTTTAGCTGGGGTGCCCAAACTTTCGATCCCCACTGTATATTTGAATTACTACGATATTTAAAAAGAAAGACAGAAGGTCTAACTGAATTGCCATTAGCTCCATTCAATTGGAAGACCTCTTGGACTCTATTTTTGGCCAAGAACTCTGTGCTACTTGATATTCAAGATGGGCTTCCCATCCCCAAGCACACACATATGTTAGCATTTTGTCCAGAGGATAAAGGACTAAGATAGGCCCCTTCATGTAGCTTCCATAGCACTCTCTTCACCTGAGTGGAAACCTTAACTGGTTTCTCCCAAGATTCCTGATGACTCCAACTCTGAAGCATGTTTTGTTGAAGCAGGGGAGAGTGGATGTGTGTCCACTGTATTGCAGGAATGGAGGCTGTGAGCAGACCCTAGGTGGACATAGCCACCTGAATTGAAATTGAAAGTTTGGTTTATATCTGACTTAATGCTAGTTTCTACCTTCTTTTCTCGTAGGAAGATTTTTTGCTGAAAATAATTGATGGTGTAACCCAGGAGTCTCACAATCTGAGCTGGAACCAGATTTGACTTTTTTAGGTTTAGAAGCTAGCCAAAACTCCTCAGATGCTCCTGTGTTTCCTGAAGGTTCGACATCAAATAACTTTTTGTATCAGTAAACAAAAGTACAGTAGATCTGCCAGGTAAGGTACAACTGAGACCCCTTTCAGTCTTAGGGCATCTGCATTAACCTTGATGAACACTCTGGGACTTAAAGATAAACCGAAGGAGAAGGCTTTAAACTGAAGATGCAGCGCCCTCTCTCCCATGCTGACCGCCAGGTGAAGATACTTCTGCAAAGCACAGCAGATGTAGGTACACATTGAAAGATCTATTGATCTATTGATGCCATGAAACATCCTGGGGTCAGAAGCTTTATTATGGAAAATATAGTACCCAAGCAAAATTTCTTTACAGCGATAGATCTGTTTTAGAATCTTCTAATTCAGAATCAGCTGAAACTTTCTGGGAAGGTTTCTTTGATGAGGAACACATGAGAATAAAATCCCAGCCCCTTACAATCTCTGGGGACTAGAACAACTACCGCCTGGTGCATCAGTTCCTGTAG